GCACCTCGCCGAATACCTCACGGCGTTTCGCGCTTGGTGATGCAAGAGCCTGGTCCGGTGAGAACCCGGCGTGCTCCGTCCCGGCTTTGTAGGGATGCGAGGTCAATGGTCTAACGACTACGGCATGCACGACTATGAGTACACCCCCCCACACACACACACACACACACCTCGCCGAATACCTCACGGCGTTTCGCGCTTGGTGATGTGAGAGCCTGGTCCGGTGAGAACCCGGCGTGCTCCGTCCCGGCTTTGTAGGCATGCGAGGTGTGTGGTCTAACGATTACGGCATGCACAACTATGAGTACACCCCCCCTCCCCCCCCCCACACACCTTCGAGCAGCCTCTAGTTCCGCCGAGACCGGCTGGTCGTACCCGAAGAACGCCGCCCACTCTCCGGCCGGTAGCCTGCTCTCACCGAGGCACCCACCCAAGCGAGGCGTACCGCCCGACCCAGCAGCAGTAGCAGCAAGCCGTCGCGGCGAAGGAATGTTTTCGAGTCGACGTGTCGACCAGCCGTGCGACAAAACAGACAAGGAACAGAGAGAGAGGCGTTTAACCGGTTTGGTCGATCGGGTTCGCAATAAACCAATGAACGCAACTCAAATCGCGGCATGTTAAGCCGACATGTTGACCCACCGCGCGCGAAAAAACAGACGGAACGAAAGAGACGCTCGAAACCGGTTGGTTGGTCGCAATTGCCCAAAATGCATGAACGCAATGCAAGACCATGCGATTTTGCCACGAACGCATTTCAAGATAATTGAACCCTTGCGCTTGGGCCGACATGTCCACCCGATGCGTGAGCAAAAAGACACGGAACAAAGAGAGAGACGCGAATCCGGTTGGTCGATCGATCTTCCTGCCATAAACGCATGAACGCTGCGCAGAGGCAACTGTAAGCGGCAGGCCCGTGAAACACAAAGAGGACCTCAGGAAGGAGAGGGTGACAAGAACAACAAAACAACAGAGGCCACCGTAAACAATGGCGGAGAAGAAGTTGAGCGGCGGCGGAAGAATGACAGCAAGCGTGTGCAGTCACACAGGAGAAACAGAGATTACGTCTGATCTACTTGTGCCGATTTTTCTTGCGGGGATCCGTAGGTGGGAATTGAACTGCGAGCGGCGGGAAGCCGTGTGAAGATGGAAGAGAGCAACATGCTCTGAAGCCTTGGCTGGCATGAAGGCCCGGGTGTTGAAAATCTGAAAAACGGTGACGCAAAACACCACAACGTGGAATGTTCAGGCTCAAGCTGAGCGGCAAGCACGCTTAGGATTCACCCTACACCGGACTGAACTTAGCCGCAGGACAAACCAACACGCACGCATACACGCATACACCCACACGACAGCAGTAGTACTGCAGCACACAGCCTCTCAGCTCATACACCTTACTACCGTGACTGCGCCACGATAACACGTCGACGACGACGACGTCGACGACGACAACGGCGACAACAAACAACACCAGGAACATCATATCATCATCACCAAGAACAACGACAGCACCATCACCAGCACCAACAAACACCATCATCATCATCATCATCAAGAACAACAACAGCACCAGCACCAGCACCAGCACCAGCACCAGCACCAACACCACGACCGCCGACCCCACCACCAACGTAACCGCCCGCCACCTACAACACCATCACCACTCACCGTATCCCAGCCTCCGTGGCGACCTTCCGGATGAAAGCGTTGTGGGTCAAAATCACCTCCTCCACCGAACCCACGTCCTCGCGCAGCTCGCACACCGCACCCGCCGACGACTCGTCCTCCTCTTGCTCGAACTCCCCCACCCCAACCCCCAACCCCCTCCCGCCGCCGCCGTCGCTAGTCGGGTGGCCTTGGCCCCCGCTACCGATGCTGCTGCTGCCCTCGCACGCGGTAGCACCTCGGGCGGAGCTAGGGGCGGCGGTGCTCGCCCGCGTCATGCCATCTCGGGGGGTATCATCGAACATGAGGCCGATGCCCATGTGGCCCCCCGGGGCGCTCTGAGTGTTGGTGGGGGGTTGAGGGGGGNGGGGGGGGGGGGGGGGGGGGGGGGGGGGGGGGGGGGGGGGGGGGGGGGGGGGGGGGGGGGGGGGGGGAGTGACAAAGAGGTGGGGAGACGGGGGGGAGAACTACGCCACAAAACAATGTGGGGGGATGCATCTTCGCTCTTCGTTTACGCTTTGCGCGTGAGCCTGGCCTGTCGGTGCCGCCGGAAGCAAGATAGCGGGCGCAACATCGAGGCGAAAGGAAGCCCATTCATATAAAAATGACAGGCAAGACAATAATTGCAAACCTTCGCCGATCACGGTTACTTGCAATGATCATCCTGCCAGTGAATGGTAAAAGAGGGACGACAGCGACGAAAGCGAGCAGACCAAGCAACGCCATGCAACGCCAAGCAAGGCAAGCAATCCAAGCGAAACAAGTAATACAAGAAAAGAAAAGCATGTCTCACCCTGCCTCCCTGCGAGTCGTCCGCCATCATCGCCTCCCCCCCCTCGGGTCCGAAGGGAAAGTCGGGGCCATCCTGTTCCCCGCCAACTTCGAGATCATCCATCTGGTTTGATGCATCCGCAAAAAATAAACAGGGTGCATACCCATAAACGAAAATCAGTATGCAGGAGTAGGAGCGACAAAGAGGAACGATACATAGGGCAAGGGAGAAGGGGAGAGAGACAGAAGGGAAAAATAAATGGAGCGGGGGGGGGCAAGCGAGAAGATAAAGAACACGAAAGTAGGACTTGTGGGCGGTGGACGGCGGCGGCAGGGATATGGGGGGGGAAGAGGCGTAGGAAGATTGATATGGAGCGCTTGGGATAACTTCTACACAGGCTTCCCGAACGTAACCATACCGAAACCGTACCGTAGTGTCTCGAGCAACTCGGAAACTGGCATATCCTAGCGTGGAAGCTGCTCCGAGCTGCCTGATAGAAAATTGTCAACAGATCCTGACCAAGTACAGGAGGAAGTTCCAAGCCGGCAGCTGAGCTCACCCGTATCCGGAGTCCGGCCAATAGGTCTTCGCTGGAAACGCTTCTGCGGAGGTCCCTCTTCGCGCTTGCGGGGGACAGGCTCAGCCTCCGAAGGATGTCCCTGCGAGGGGAAACATGAACAGCGCGAGGACGACAGCAGCTGCGAGTTAGTTAAAACTTTGCGACGGACACAACTGGCTATGAGTTGCGACAGGTTCGATCAAAAGGCGGTATGTTTTGAGGACGCAACCATTGGGGGAGGGAGGGTCCCTTGAGAGACCGTCACTCATGTTTCGGCACTGCACTAGACGCGGTTCATGTCTGCCTCGTATCCGCCGGGCGAGTGACGTAGCGTGGCACGACGCTTCGAGGCGTGGTCGATTTCGATCGATCGTTGGTGTGTTCAGAGTATCGATCAAGGGGTGCCGGTTCGCCCCACCATGGTGTCTTTTCGATTCTCCCGCTTTTTCCCTTGGCCCTCGACCGAACGGCAGACATGAGCAGTCCAGAGGCAACCATGACACCACCGCCAACGTTACCACCAACACCAACAACAACAACAACAGCACCTACCTGTCAGCCCTCGGCGAAGGAAAATTGTAGGCTGTCCAACAACAACAATAACAACAACAACACCACCACCATCAACAACACCAGCACCTGTCAGCACTCGGCGACGGAAAGTTGTAGGCCGCGCCACCCCCTCCGCCGCCGCCGCCGCCAGCAGCCGCCGCCGCCGCTGCCGCCGCCGCCGCCGTCCTTACCGCCGCGCGGAAAGAGGGCCGCACCGGGGGAGACGAAGCAGCGCACGGGAGGATGCCGGTCCTGCTGAACACCCTCACCTCCTCGGGGGTGAGGCTGAGGTCCGAGTCGCCGCTACCGGCGCAGGCACGCTTCTCGTCGGGGGTAACCGCTGCCGCCTTGGATCTCGCCCAGGCGTAGCAACCTTCCCACTCAGCTGCGGCCGCGGCTACGCTAGGGGAAGGGGTCAGCGTCTGGCGGGGGAACAGAGAAGGTGCGCGATAAGATTGGAATATTGTTGTTTGTTGTCGAGGGACGTAAGGATAGATGGTCCGTGTTGAGGCGGGGGGGGGGGAAGCTCGGGGTCTAGTCAAGGTT